AGATGCACTGTGCCTCAGTTTCCTCATGGTGTTATAGGACCCCCATGGGTCAGATCCCCAGGGCAGCACTGGGTTCTGCCGGCACAACCACAAGCCAAACTAAGAAGCAGCCAGATCCAGCACCAGCAGCCAAAGCAGTTTCTTAATCTCAGGGCAGCAGATAACGCCACTGGTCCCACCTTGCCTTCGCCTGGCCTGGGGAGGAGCAAGCAAACAGACCTTTGCATGGGCACAGCCCTGGGACATGGAAAACACCAAGGGGAGGCGGGGGGGAGCCCTGTCACAGGACACAGCCTGGCCCCCCGCCAGCACTCAGCCAGGAACCGGCTCTCCTCAGGAGCTCAGGAATGTGCTCTGAGCATCCCTCCATTCCACGCTGCCATCCCAACACCTCTGGCAGCCACCTTGCAGCAACCAGACATCGAGCCCCCCTCAAAAAACATGGGGCAACTCCCTGCCTGCATCCCCCATCTGGGATGTGGTGCAGGAAGCATCACTTTCCTGTCCCCACCCTGGCTGTGGCCACGCTGCACCTGCGATGGCCGAGGGATGGGCAGGGGAAGATGCTGACCAGCACTAGGGGAAGAAGCTCCTCAGCTTGCAGGACAGTGGCTGGATGGCCATGGAATGGTTTGGGTTCAAATGTTTAACGTCCCTATAGAAGGGACCTTAAAGCCCATCCAGTTCCGACCCCTGCCACGGGCAGGGACACCTTCCACTAGCGCAGGTTGCTCCAAACCCCGTCCAACCCCGGCCATCAGGACCCTGATGCCGGTATTTCCCTCCTGCCACTTCCACAACAGGCAGGTGCCTCCCCGGACGTGCCGAAGCACACGCCAGGGTTAGGCAGGAGCTGCCTGCACTTGCCCTGGCCCCTCCTGCCCACGGCACACAGGCAGAGCTGCCTGCACGGCCCCCCAGGGCTGTTGCCCACATGCAGGGCCCCGTGGGGAAGCGGAGATGGGCCCAGCACCCCACAGCCCCTCCATGTCCCCCATGGGGACAAGCAGCGGGGCTCCCAGAGGAAGGGGATGCAAATCCCCTGGGGGTTTCACACTCCAAAGGCTTCTCCCAGAGCCTCCACATCCCGCCCAGACACGCTCAGGCCATGTGGCCCACGCCAGGGGATCGCAAACGCCTGCCAAAGCCCCCCCATATCCATTCCAAGACAGCAACAGCCACTGCCCATGTCTTGAGAAGACAGACACCAGCCAGCACCGCGACATCTGTGTCCCCCCGCCAGCTGCTCTGATGGCACCAGAGCCAGGGAACCCGGCCATGGACGGCAGCCAGCACGTCCTGGTGGAAACGTGGGTTCCCCAGGTCACTGGGCCCACTGCTGCTCCATGGGGAATGGCTGCACTCCCTCCTGGATGGAAGCAACAACAAGCCATCCCACGGCAGGGCGAGAGGCTGAAATGCATCTGTGGAATGCGGAGCATCAGATGCCTCCGTCCGGCAGCTGCTGCCAGTCCCTCTGCCAGGAACACGGCGGGAAAAACGAAAGGGAAAAAAGGCGGGGGTGAAGGGAAAAAGGGAGCCCTCCGGGAGCTCCACGTCGGGCGGGTGAGCCAGCAAAACCCTGTGCCCTCGAGCGAGAGGAGCCCAACCCAACCCCGCCGCCTTCTTCCCTTTTGCACGAACACGCAGCTCGCACCTCCGGCCATGAGGAACGGGAGCCGGGAATGCTGGCCCGGGGGGGTCCGGCTGAGAAGGGCGGGGACAGGAGGGGACACGGCAAGGGCTGGCGGTGGGATCGCACTGGGAACGTGCCTGCTGAAAGCGCTTTTGTTGGCAGCAGGAATTACAGCCCAACAAGTTCCCCAGGGCCAGCAGCGACCTGAGTTTCGGGGGGACGCGACCGCTCCGGCTGGCGTCAGCGCGGGCGATGCCGAACCGGGACCCCGCCGCCGGGTACCGGATGGTTCCCACGGTCGGGGGATGCTGCAGGGCTCCTGCCCCGCAGTCAGCGCGGGGTTGCGGTGGGGGCTCCGGTATCCCAATGGTTGATTGTGGGGGGAAACCCCAGGGAACCCCGTGCTATGCAGGATGCAAACCAAAGTCCTGGGCAGGCGATAAACGCCTGAACGATTTAACGGCACCTCCGCACCCCAGCGGGGGGGCCCCCCAGCCCCAGGAACCCCTCTGTCCGCACCCGAAGCCCCTCCCGCTCCTCCTCCCCGCTTCCCCCCCACCCCGGGACCTTCGCTCTACCCCATGGACCCTTGCCCCGCACACCTCCCGCATCCCTCTCCCCCAAGCCCGAGGACTCCGCTCCCGCCCCGAGCCGCCCCTCACTCACAGGCTCCGCTCGGGACGCTCGGTCTGCCGGTGCAGCGCTACCGAGAAGCCGAAGAAGCCGCCGGGGGTCGCTCCCTCCTTGAGCACCGGGAAGGCGCGGTCCACGTTGAAAGCGGCGGCGGCGCCGAGCAGCGCTCCCAGCACCGGCAGCAGCCGCGGCCCCGGTGCCGGCAGCGCCCGGCGGCCCCGCGCCATGTCCCGCACCCGGCTCCCGCAGCCACCGCAGCCACCACCGACCGCACCCCCCCGGGGCCGGTGCGCTGCGGGGCGGGGCCGGGCGGGGCGCGCGCCCTTCCGGGCGCTCCCCTTAAAGCGGCCGCGCACCCCCCCCGCACCGGCGGGTACCTGCGGGAAGGGAGGGGCCCGCAGCGCGCGTGCGCGAGCACGGGGAGGAGAAGAGGGGGGCTGGGGGAGGCGTGGCCACACCTGCGCGTGCACGGCGGGAGGGGAGGATGGAGAGCATGCGCGCTGGCACGCGACACGCCCCCCCCCCCCCCGAACCCCCCGCACAATTGTGTCCGACCCCACCCCCCCCGGGTAGGGACCCCCCCACCCGGACTGCCGGGTGAAGCCTTTGTGATGGGTCCTCTGGGGGTGGGACTCCCCATGGGATCGGACCCCCCGTGGGATCGGACCCCCCACGGGATGGGAGCCGCTATTGGGTGGGAATCCCGGGATGCGACCCCTGAGGATGGGACCCCCCATGGGATGGGACCTCCCCCGGGTTAGGATCCTGGATGGGATGAGACCTTTCCGGGAGCGGACTCTGGTTCCCAACCCGGTGAAGGTCACCGGGAGCCATCGCACCCGTCCCACCCGTGCCAGGAAACCCTGGGTGGGGTGGGGGGGTGAGGGGGGGCACAGGATGTCCTGTGTCCCCCGCCCCGACGTCACCGCTCCCGGCACAGCTCCTGCGCCTCACGATGCCACTGGAAAGAGTGACAGCACGGGACAGCCCAAGGGCAGCTCTGCTGTCAGCCGGCACACAATGCTGTCCCCTGTGCCGCGTTCCTTTTTCTCTCTTCCTTGTCCCCTCTTCCCCATCCCTTGTCCTCTTTCCCTGGCCCTTGTCCACCATCCCCTGTCCTCTGCCCCCATCCTTTGTCACCTTGTTCCCAGCAGAAGAGCCAGGCAGCTTTCAAGGCTATTCAAAGGGTATTCAAAATCTTTACAATTCTCAGGTAGTACTGTAGTTATCCTGGAGGAGAAGGAGGATCCTGGAAGGAAAGAAGGAAGGAAGGACGGAAGGTGTTTATTGTCACCGGTTGGCTCTTTCTGCGGAGAAAAGCCCAAAGGTGTAATAGTGAATAGCTCCCAACAGATGGCTCCCGAGGGACAAAGGTGACCGGAGCACACGTCAGCTCAATCTCATGACCACATCGATCCTATCGTAACCACGCACTACCAAGTACAAGAAAATGATAACACATTGTGGTCAGATCCGTCGTTATCTCCACCCTTTGTTCCCCACACTGGGCGACAGAAGGTGGTGTTGTGGTTTAAACAGGGCTCTTTCACTGGCCTTGAGCACTTCGACGGATGGGGCAGCCAAAGTTCCCTTGGCAAACACTGTCTCACCATCCTCTCAAGGAAGAGCTTCTTCGTTATATTCAGTCTAATACTCCCACCTTCAGTTTAAATCCATGACCACTCATCCAATCCAGGTAGTTAAGCCTGGAGAAGGGGAGACTCTGAGGACAACTTACTGCAGCCTTTCAATTCCTAAAGGGAGCCTGTAAGAAAGACGGGGAAAGACATTTTATTAGGGCCTGTTGCAATGGGATGAGGGGTAATGAGTTTAAAATAAAGAGGGGAGATTCAGGTTCAACAACAGGAAAAATTTTTTTACAATGAGATTGCTAAAAGAGTGGCACAGGGTGCCCAGTGCAGCTGAGGCTGCCCCATCCCTGGCAGTGCTCAAGGCCAGGGTGGACACAGGGGCTTGGAGAAAGCTGGTCTACTGGAAGGTGCTCCTGCCCGTGGCAGGGGTTGGAACAAAATGACCTTAAGGCCCTTTCCAACCCGAACTGTTCTATGATACTATGACTATATCTCCAGACAGACGACACACAGAGGCTGCACAGAGTGGGGATGAGGCACATGAGCCCAGCACAGGTGTCCTGAGAGCACTGTTGGTGTTCCAGTAGGCTCCAGCCCTCCCAGCAGAAGCCCATCTGCACACAACAATGGCCTTCCCTTAGAGAGAGCTGAGGGGAGCAAGAGGAAAGGCTGTGCCATGTCCTCTGCTGTGGCAGCCCTTGGGCATGCGGAAGAGAAGCAGCAGAGCGGTGCCCATTTCCTGACACCTTGGCCACAAGCAAGCCCACAGGAATGAGCCAGGAGCACATCCCCTGCCTGCACGGGATGCACCAGCCCTTGATGGGAGGCTTCTGCTGCGCTCACGTGGTTCTGCCCCGGAAACCCTTGGGCTTCTCATCCCGGCACTGACAGAAGCCTTCCTATGGCAAAGCACATGAGCCAGGAAATTAAAAGGCAGCAGTGCCGGAAACCGGGACACGGCCCCTGCCATTACCTGGGAGGGTTTGCATTTGCCATGGGCTTGCCAGGAAATTCCTGCTGCCACAAAGGTGCCTGTGGGCCTGAGGCACTGCAGGGCCACTATAAAAGGCAGCCCAGGTCTCTGCTCCTCATCCACTTCTCTCGCCTCCTTCTGCTGGGAATCAGGTGAGTGCGAAGCCTCTTGTGCTGCTGCTTCCAGAGCAGGTCGTTCCTCCCCGTGTGTCTGAGCTGAGCGGGGCTGTGGTAGCGCAGGGCTGGGAGCTGCTTGTGGTGGGAGAGGGAAGGGGAGAGAAGGGCTTGTGCAGAGAGAGGCTGGGACTGAGCTGAGCTGGCTGCTGGGCTTGGAGGTGCTCAGCGTGTGCTGGGCCGGGAGGTGCCTTGGCTTGCCCAGGCTTGGGTGCAGAGCTGCTGCTCCCGTGTCCCATCCTCTGCTTGCCCCTGCCCTGTGTCCAGGTGAAGCTCCAGCATCCAGACATGTCCTGCTGCAACCCGTGCGTGCCCTGCCAGCCCTGCGGCCCGACCCCGCTGGCCAACAGCTGCAATGAGTGCTGTGTCAGGCAGTGCCAGAGCTCCACCGTCGTCATTGAGCCTTCCCCCGTGGTGGTGACCCTGCCCGGCCCCATCCTCAGCTCCTTCCCTCAGAACACCGTTGTGGGCTCCTCCACCTCCGCTGCCGTTGGCAGCATCCTCAGCTGTGAGGGAGTGCCCATCAACTCTGGGTGCTTCGACCTCTCCTGCATCACCAACCGCTACTGCGGCACCAGGTGCAGACCCTGCTAAAGCTGCTGCCAGCATCCTCGGGCAAGGACCTCCACCACCTCCCACCATGGATCTGGACAGGAGATAGAGCTTCGCGGCGCTGTTTCCTTCTCCCACTCTCCTCTCCATTCCTTTCCTGTCTCCACCTCCTGCACCAGCCCAGTGGGGACCTCTTGGCCTCCCTCCCTCCCTGTGAGGGACAGGCAGGCGGACACCCTGCAGGAGCTGCACCGCATCTTGGTGCCTGCCCCTGGTGCTCCCTGGGAGCCACCTCCTTTTCTTCTTTACACTCATTAAAGTTGTGCTGCATCCAAGCCTGGGCCTCCGAGTCCTCCTTCCTTCTGCAGGAAATCTTACTGTCTGCTTCCCCTTGGAGGTGACAAAGATATCCCTGGCTACTCCACTGACAGTGAGAGCACGGCTCCAAAGAGTGGCAGGAGTGGGCATGGGGAGATAATACTGCCCAAGGACAGCACTCAGCCTTGTCTCTGCTTTCCTATCCCCTACACACCCAGCACACCACTCTTACATGCTCAGCACACACTTGCACAGGCAGATGAGCTCCTACCTCATACAGTCCTTCAGCACCTGGTAGGTCCCAGCTCTCTCCAGGTGTGCAGGGCTGAGACAACTCATTGGTTGGGAAAATGACACTGGTAACAGCAGAGTCCCCCAGGTTAGGTGACACTCATGGGGAGCTGATAAAAATCCCCACAATCCAGGCAGCCATGGCCAACAGCATCCTCAGCTGGATCAGACATAGTTTGGCCAACAGGGCCAGGGAATTTGAGGCTGCACCTCGATTCCTGTGTTGGGTCTGGGACCCTCACTACAAGAGAGACATTGAGTTTCTGGAGCAGGTCCAGAGAAGAGCAGTGGAGCTTGTGAAAGGCCTGGAACACAAGAGTGATTAGCAACAGATAAAGGACCTGGGGGCAAGTGGAGGGGTTAGTCTGGATATTATGGCTCCCTACAACTACCTGACAGGAAGGTGTAATGAGGTAGGGTCTGTCTCTACTGCCCAGTAAGAAGTGATAGGACAAAACAAAATGGCCTCAAGCTACAGTACAGAAGGTTTAGACTGGAGATTAGGAACAATTTCTACATCAAGAGTGTGATCAGGAATTGGAACAGGCTGCCCAGAGAAGTGGTGCAATTTGAACAGCCCCAGAAGCCTTAAACAACGTGTACATGAGGACCTTAGTGACAATGATTACTGGTGGATCTGGCAGTGCTGGGGAAGGGTTGGACTTGACGATCTTAAAGGTCTGTTCCAACCTCATTGTTTCTATGATTTTATGAGAGGGGTCAGGATTTAGGGCATTAGCCAGGACTGAAGACCAAGGAATACAAAGGAAATTTTCAAGTTATCATTGCAAAGCACATTTATATTTTTGCATTCTTAAGGAAGCCACATTCATTTGATCAGGGAAGATGAACACCTGAAATATGATGAGATCTTCCTGGGAGTGCTGGGTTCACAGGTAGTGGGGACACTGCTGGACAGCCTGGGTTGGCTGATAGCAGTCCTAAGTGTTGGGATAACTCAGTCCTTTGTGTCTGAAGAGGGCTGGGCTCTGCCAGGAGAGCTGAAGGACTGTATGAGGTAGGATCTCATCTGCCTGTGCCCATGTGTGCTGGGCATGTAAGATTGGTGTGCTGGGTGATGTAGGGGAGAGGAAGGCAGAGACAAGGCTGTGTGCTGTCCTCGGGAAGTAACATCTCAACAGGACCGCTCCTGCCACCTTTTGGAGCCGTGGTCTCACTGATGGCCATTGCTGGTGGAGTAGCCAGGGATGTCTTTGTCACCTCCAAGGGGAAGCAGACAGTAAGATTTCCTGCAGAAGGAAGGAGGACTCAGAGACCCAGGCTTGGATGCAGCACAACTTTAATGAGTGTAAAGAAGAAAAGGAGGTGGCTCCCAGGGAGCACCAGGGGCAGGCACCAAGATGCGGTGCAGCTCCTGCAGGGTGTCCGCCTGCCTGTCCCTCACAGGGAGGGAGGGAGGCCAAGAGGTCCCCACTGGGCTGGTGCAGGAGGTGGAGACAGGAAAGGAATGGAGAGGAGAGTGGGAGAAGGAAACAGCGCCGCGAAGCTCTATCTCCTGTCCAGATCCATGGTGGGAGGTGGTGGAGGTCCTTGCCCGAGGATGCTGGCAGCAGCTTTAGCAGGGTCTGCACCTGGTGCCGCAGTAGCGGTTGGTGATGCAGGAGAGGTCGAAGCACCCAGAGTTGATGGGCACTCCCTCACAGCTGAGGATGCTGCCAACGGCAGCGGAGGTGGAGGAGCCCACAACGGTGTTCTGAGGGAAGGAGCTGAGGATGGGGCCGGGCAGGGTCACCACCACGGGGGAAGGCTCAATGACGACGGTGGAGCTCTGGCACTGCCTGACACAGCACTCATTGCAGCTGTTGGCCAGCGGGGTCGGGCCGCAGGGCTGGCAGGGCACGCACGGGTTGCAGCAGGACATGTCTGGATGCTGGAGCTTCACCTGGACACAGGGCAGGGGCAAGCAGAGGATGGGACACGGGAGCAGCAGCTCTGCACCCAAGCCTGGGCAAGCCAAGGCACCTCCCGGCCCAGCACACGCTGAGCACCTCCAAGCCCAGCAGCCAGCTCAGCTCAGTCCCAGCCTCTCTCTGCACAAGCCCTTCTCTCCCCTTCCCTCTCCCACCACAAGCAGCTCCCAGCCCTGCGCTACCACAGCCCCGCTCAGCTCAGACACACGGGGAGGAACGACCTGCTCTGGAAGCAGCAGCACAAGAGGCTTCGCACTCACCTGATTCCCAGCAGAAGGAGGCGAGAGAAGTGGATGAGGAGCAGAGACCTGGGCTGCCTTTTATAGTGGCCCTGCAGTGCCTCAGGCCCACAGGCACCTTTGTGGCAGCAGGAATTTCCTGGCAAGCCCATGGCAAATGCAAACCCTCCCAGGTAATGGCAGGGGCCGTGTCCCGGTTTCCGGCACTGCTGCCTTTTAATTTCCTGGCTCATGTGCTTTGCCATAGGAAGGCTTCTGTCAGTGCCGGGATGAGAAGCCCAAGGGTTTCCAGGCAGAACCACGTGAGCGCAGCAGAAGCCTCCCATCAAGGGCTGGTGCATCCCGTGCAGGCAGGGGATGTGCTCCTGGCTCATTCCTGTGGGCTTGCTTGTGGCCAAGGTGTCAGGAAATGGGCACCGCTCTGCTGCTTCTCTTCCGCATGCCCAAGGGCTGCCACAGCAGAGGACATGGCACAGCCTTTCCTCTTGCTCCCCTCAGCTCTCTCTGAGGGAAGGCCATTGTTGTGTGCAGATGGGCTTCTGCTGGGAGGGCTGGAGCCTACTGCAGCACCAACAGTGCTCTCAGGACACCTGTGCTGGGCTCATGTGCCTCATCCCCTCTCTCTGCAGTCTCTGTTCATCCTCAGGGAACACCAGGAGTATGTCTGGGGCGTGCTCCTTCCCTGCAGTACCTGAGCTCTGTTGTGCCAGTGAGGTCCCGGCATTGCCTCAGCCGAATCCCCACGTGCTGATGGTTCTGGCTTTCTGGGAACATACAGGTATGGGCATGGTTCCATGAAGTTATGCCTGAGCACACATGTCTCAGTCTGTCCTTGTGTGAGCCTCATGATGGGCAGAAACTGTTGTGTACTAACCACAAATACCCTGTCCACATGCTGCTGCGCTGTTTAATGGTGGAGCTTGAACTAAGGAGGGAAATTGAGTCTGTGAAAAAGAGGTGGGATGGGGTGAAGTTATCTCAAGGTTGGGTTTGTCCCTTATAAGAACAGATTGCAGATCGGAAAGTGCCGGTCCCTTGATCATATCAGACCTCTTTCACATGCTTCTTATCCATATCAGCCATTCCTCATTTGCCCTCTGCCGCAGCACATTTCCTCCCAGGTTTTCTGAGATCCATTGAGAGAATCTCATTTGTCTTTGTTGGCACTGTTTACCGAGTTGTATGTACCAAATGCTGCTCCTCACGATTTGCAGGCTATAGGAGAGGATACAGATAGGCGGATTGGCACAGTATGGTTCTCTCTAGGCATGGTGGCAGGAGGCCATTCTGTGCAAGGCTGAGCTGGGGGAAAAGGGCCCTGGGTTCTTCCCTGGCAGCCCTATTGACCTTATACACCCAGAGATGTGCAGGAGAATACAATATTCCTGTCAGGGCTGGGCTGAGTGGCCCTAGGGAGAACGAGAAGGGGGTGAGAGCTTCTACCAGGGAACTCTTCTTCCTCGGAGGCCTAGCATAGCATGTCACTTGCCGTAAAGGGGGAATGGCCTGAGCTCTTTCCACATTACCATGGCAGGACACGTCAGACACTCATCAGTGTCCTCTTGCAGGCTCTTGTGAATGACCCTTTTACCACGAGGTGGCCGTGTGCTGGGAGTTGGGGATGTGCAGTCTCGAGAGACCTCTGCCCTGCACTTCTGCGCACTGAACTGCTGGGGCTGCGTGGGGCACTATGGGGGTGACAGAAGAAAGGGGGACTTGGCCTTGCTCTCCTTATCCTGGGACACACGGCATCTCTCTTCCTGCTGGAGATGGGTGGGAAGGCAGGGAGAAAGTAGGCTCTGGGCTCTAGCCAAGGTGATCTCCTTACTATCCCTCCTTGCATCCCCGCTGCCCTCTTCCCTCTGAGCCTTCTCCCCTGGCACTGCTCCATCCACGGAGGAGCTCCCTGGGGTGCCGGTTGGGCTGCTGACATCCCAGGACCTCCTGCAGCACTGGCATCTTTCCAACTTGAAGAGAGCTCAAGTTGGCATCACACTCTGTAGGGCATGCTGAAATCCCATAGGGTGTATTCCTGCCAACCCAGTGCACTTGGAATGAGAAAGAATCCACTGCTTCACACACTTATTCCCTCTCAGCATACCTCCTTGCTCCCTGGACAGCATTCGAGAGCATCCAGAGAGGAAAGGACCACATAGAGACAGAGGCTGGGATGCGTCAGAGTTTAATGAATCCAAAGAGGGAAACAAGATGTCTCAAGAGGAGGCCACAGGTAAAGGGTTCCTATGAGCAGCCAAGAACCAGTGCCACACAAAACCCATTAGTGGGCAAGTTCCCCCTCAGCTGTCTTCACTGGACCT